AGGCTCTGTTCTTTCCACGCTTCTGAGACAGCTCAGACCCCACTTTGGCGAGCAGCCAAGCGCCCAGCCCCATCCGTATCTGTCTCTCTATCAATGCGCTTTTCTGTGCCTTCAAGCTCTTGTTTTCAGGAATATGAGTCACCAGCAGCATTGCTGCTCAACAAAAGACCTGCTGCTGAACTTCACTGGGCTGCTGTTAAACAACCAATGCTAAATCTATGCATGACTGCACCCAGTTTGTACACATTGCTATCTACGTTTCCTGCAGGACTCTAGGCATAGCACTGGTGGTCTCTGTGGAATCTCAATCCACTGACTTCCATTTAAAAAATAGATAAGAAGCAAATTATGGAGTCATTTATCTTGAAAATGTTAGGACAGAGTAAAATATAAATGACCAATCTTGATTCTTAGAGGAACTGATAACAGAAACAGACTTTTTTTGTCTTTTTTTCGTTTTGTTTCCATTTATTGAAAAGGTATGAAAGAGGCTTTTATCAGAAATGAAGAGTCCAGATTAATCTAAAATGACTTAATAGATGGCTGGCATTGTTGTACTTATGGTCCCCCCCTTTGGTCGCAAAACTTCTGCTGTAAATAGCAGCATCAGTGAGGACATACCAACAAATTGTAAATATAACTTGCAGTGATAACGCCGGCAGAGACATCTTCTTATTAGTGTTGCACCGATACCAGTATCGGACAGGGCCCCGATACTGCACTAAAATAGTGGTATCGGTGCCATATTTGTCTGCACTCGCCAATACCGATACCCCCATTGTGGTGCAGTATCGGGGCCCTGTCCGATACTGGTATCGGTGCAACACTAATAAGAAGATGTCTCTGCCGGCGTTATCACTGCAAGTTATATTTACAATTTGTTTTACAATTACCAAACCAAAAGTTTATTCATCTATTGTCAATAATCAACAACTCCAGGTAGTCAATAAAAAAAAAAACTCTACTGGATTCACTTTGTATTAGTCTTTTTCCTGCTTCACAAAGGTAGGCCGCAGCTTGACAGAGTCATGATGGCAATTATTTTACGCCCAAGTAGTATGCAGTTCTTCATAATTACACATACATTTCAAACAGATTGTATTAGTATTGGCCAGTACTGCACAGCCAGGTATTGAGTATCAGCATCGGGGCCAAAAAAATGGCATCGGCGCAACACTACTTCTTATGGAGATTGCTCCCTCCCTAGGTGGAATACAAAATTACCAGTGGAGGCGTTCCAGTGTAGAGAACTTTTGCAAAGAAGGGGGCACTGACGCATGTGCATGATTAAAAAAAATACACAAACAGCCGTTGGACATATCTTCCACCACAGGATCCTCTTTCCTTACTTTAAACACTACACAGAAAATACAGCTTCAATGGAAGTCGGACTATTTTCCCTCCTCTGACTTTCTGAGAGCTGAATAATAAACCAGAAAGAATATTGGATCATGGCTTCAGTGGGAACTCGTTCAGATATTCTCTAATTTCTTTATATTCTAATATTCTTCTCATGTGTTTATGTAGTCCGCTATTTGAGCACAGAATGACTTTAATTTTTAAATATTTACTGCTGAATATATAATCCATCATTCGCCCCCAGAGGATTTTAAGCACATTTCTGTCTTTTATTGCAGTGTTGCTCTCAGTTCCATTGTTTAGCAATGCCTCCTTTTCCCTCTTATGGATAATAAACTCTAATATCTGGGATTAAGGGGGAGGTAATATTACTTATGTCAGTTAAATACGAAACAAACAGCAGGAGTTTCAAAACCATGTAAGTTAAATGCAGACATTTTCTTGGGAAATACTGAGTCATAGTCAAAGCAGCGCTTTTTGTAAATCATTTACCAGAGTTTGTAGTCCCTGACAAAGATGAGTGAAGGGTGTGTTTGTTATCTTCTGATGAGTTGATGACATATAATACAAAAAAAAAATATATAAATGAATTCTGGGGTACAAGACTGCTCTCGTAGTTTCCTTTTTCTTCTAGAGAGAAAAGAAAACCCTTACAACTCTTCTTTCTCTGATAAACTCCATTAAACAAGCTACATACATCTGTTATGGCTCTTTGATGGTTGATGTTTCACTGCCGTTTGCCCACATCTGCAGAAATGATTTCTCAAATAAGAAAAGCAGAAGAAGCTATCTTTATTAAAAAAAAACAAAAAAAAACAAAACAGAAGAAGTATCTTGAGCTTTATTTTTTCTTACATTGCTGGGCAGTTTTTCAGCAAATTACACCTTCAAACATCTAAAACTGCTCATAGGTTGTTTAAGGGCCAGGTTTGAATAAGCAGGTTATAATGACAGCAGCATTGAGCTAACCAGAGGGTAGGGTTAGTGAATCATGTTTATTTATTGCTCCATTAGTGACTTCAATTGCCCCATTGTTGCCCTTGTTCTGACTACAATTTATAAAGCAGTTACTTCCAACCATATTCTGAACTGAATAAGCCTTTAGGACAGCGGTCCCCAACCACCGGGCCATCGGTCATTTGGTACCGGGCAGCACAGAAAAAAGTATATATATATATATAATTTATCAACGATCAGAGTCTGAGTGATGTTTTATTTTGAAAAATATAAAAAATTGCGGTATTCTTTCCCAATTACATCAGTCGGTGCATCTGTGCCTCTTGACACAGGTTAATTCAGTTCAAGACTCATCCTACCTATAACATCCTATCTTTGAGAAGCGGGATTTTCTGCGGTTAGAGCGACCAAAACAAAGCTACGGAGCAGACTGGACATCAGGAGCACACTTCGTGTGTCATTGTCTCCGATTACGCCTAGATGGGACCGGCTTGTTGTTTTATTTTTATGCTCTTTGTATTTGATTTTATGCCAGTCATATCATTTTACTTGATCGTAAAACACCTGATCGATTTAAACACCTTTGAAATGATAACCAGCAACACTGCAGTATTTTCTGCTGACTAGTTGCCATTCATTTGATAAGGAAACATTTACTAATGTGTGTAAAATCTTGACTTGGGTTTGGAGCAACAAACCTCAGTCTTGGAAAAACCTGGAAAAACAACATTTTTGATGTTACTGGTGTTCAGTTAGGTGGTTTCCTAACGGACAACTGAATTAAACTGTTAAACAAACAAATGAATAACAGCAGCTGTTTAATTTTTCAGCAGTTCTACTGATTAGGGTCCGTTCCCTCCTACATAATGGGGTTTAATTAAACGGAACTCTGGGCCTTTTACAAACATGCTTAGTAGATTTAAATAACACACTCAGATAAAAAAAATCAAACAAACTATAGATTATTCTTTGATTTTAAGATTGTAGAACCAATAATACCAATTAGAACTTGACAGTTTCTCTCTAATAAATGTTGAGTTCATCCATCAGTCGCTCTCTAGATGTGTAAAAATCTATTTTCTATCCTTCTATAGTTTCCATTAAACCCTTTTTTAATGTAGTGATAAGAACAAAAGGATCATAGTACAGGCTTCAACATCTTATCAGTAACATCATCATATTGGCAATGAGTGCTGTTAGAATGGCAGGTCAAGATCCTAACATTTAACATGATTTTTCATCTTTCCAAAAGTATTCAAACCCATCTCTGGATCCTTTGATGGATTCATCATCCATTTTATCCAGTTCCTCATCTGTTTTCAGTAGCCTGAAGGAACTGCAATACATTCTAAAACTGAAACTGTACCAAAAAGTATTTCTTTCCATATTCTTGCCTCTATTGACTGGAAAGAAGACATTTTATATATTTTATTGTCCTGTAGCCGGTCAGGGCCTTTCACTCCCAAAAAACCAAAAAAATCCTCCAGCTCTGGTTTTGTTGTATTGGAAAGCAGTATCTACCAGCTCCCACAGTCCCACTCTATCTCTATCTCTTCCTCTTCCTCTCTGTCTCCATCTGCGCTGTCCAAACACACACTCCTGTGTGGTATTCTGCACCTCTGTTGGAGAAAACAATGGGGGTAATTTGCGACCATGAATGGAGTTGATCTGGAGCACTTGGCAGTCTGGTCGCTGTGTGGGTCCCACTAAACAGCCGATCTGTTGGAGCGGGCAGGGGCTGTAGGATGTCAGATCATATTTAGCCGGGTGACACAGGAAGTTTCAGTCATTGTTAGAGAAAGGAGAAGGGTTAGATTAATAGACTGAAAAAGATGTTTAATATTTGAAACATAGATGTCTAATGAATGTTGAAGGGTTGAGTAGATTTGAGGAGTTTACTGATTTAAGATAATACTTAAAGAACAGAGGATTAGGCCTTTGAAAAGGGAAGTTTATGTTTTGCGAGTACAGATCTTTTTTTGATACCCAGGATTAAGGAAATTATACAACACTGCTTACACTGCACACATTGTGCAGCTTTGCAGCCATGTTATTGAGGACAGGATCTTGGAAGTGCCGTTTGTTGATATTGTTGTAAGTTTGATAAAGAGTTAAAGCAGCATATAGTTTAAGTTGCCACCTCTTTGTGATCCTGGCTACAGTGGCAGTCGATGCAGAAGCAAGAATAGTTGGTAATAAGTGAAGATATGGGACAAATAGCGGCGTGTCGCTTTCAAGGTGAGTGGAAAAGCAATATTTACAGCCAGGCTGACTGAGATCTTGTATGAGCTTTCCCCTGGCATTCGTTTTTGTTTGTATGGTTGTCAGTTGAAATTCCAAAAGATCCCTGCGACGCTACCATTGTAAATGAGGTGGAATGCTACGTTTCTGTGCAGCGGAGTAATTTGTATATGAAACCTTTGGCTTCCACAAGGATGTCAGAAGCGCTGAGAGAGGGAAAGGGTGAGACGGCAGAGGGTGAGGAAAGCTCTCCATCCTGTCAGGGCTGTCACGATAAGACATGGTGATGAGGAGGGGAGCTGGAGGGAAAAAAAACACATAAAACACATGACTGGAAGGATTTCTGGTGGCGTCAGGTGAAAAAACAAACTTTGAACCAAAAACACTTATTGCCTGTTTTTCCATGCCCCAACCCCCCCACCCCCCTGTCTTTGTCTTTGCAGAGTTGCTGGGCTCCAACAAGAGACTCAACATCAATTACCAGGACTCAGATGGGTAAGAGGAGCGCGTGTGCAAGAAAAGCATGAAGTTGGAACAGTCCGACTTGATGAGTAGATGGGGCGGAAAAAATACTATTCTACATGTGACTGCCTACTGTTTGTTTGCAGCCCTCACTCTGTGACTCACAAAGCGCACACAAGTACCGACATATACTGTTGCTCAGAGTCATCATTTAACCCCAGGGGAGTAAATTACTGGGTACTGAGTCTGTGTAACTCATCAGCTGTCAGACTATTGGAAGAGAGTAAAATGTACTCTTTGTAATTCTGCATTAGGGAGGTATAATAGAATAAATCACAAAATTGAAATGTTTTAGCTTTTTCATTTTTGTATTCAAAATTAAATCGTGACAATTTTGGCACATGATTAAAAGGGGGATAGTTATATCATGTATAGGTAACACTGAGACACGCAGGACCAACAACGTGGAACCAAGGGGTAATCAAAAGTAAAAATCCCCCTATGCACTTGATAAAAATACAAACGCCATGATAAAATAGGTTTTCGTGGGGATTTAAACCCTTCTTTTCTTCTCAGCAATCTAAGCATGTGTGAATCTGGATCTGAAAACAATACTCAATTCTCCTCTTTCTCCTCAAGGCCATAAATATTAAGATCAGAAGCTAATGAATGCAAGGCATGTGAAGGCCAGACAAAGCAAGTTTCTTTCTGCAAAATATTTCATTGATGAGAAATTCAATGACCCGAAGATGAGAAAGGAAAATAAAGAAAAAAGAACATTGCATGGAAATAGTTGATAATAGAAGTATTGCACTAAAAACATGTTCTAATGATTTTTAATTTTTTTTATTATTTAATCTTGATTTAAAACTGTTGTTTCGACACTTTCACAGTTTTATGGAAGTTTGCTTAAAATTAATGGAGCATAAGAACTAAAACCTGTTTCTCCAAGTTCGGTTCTGGTTCTGGGTTATGCTGGGAAAATTTAATCAGAAGAACTGAATGGTTTGCACACTGTTTTTCAATGTTGAACCTTTTAGAGTCGCTGGTATGAAGGTGTACTAGAATCTGTTGCATTAAAGTAAACAGTAGACACAGGCCTACAGTTAGACTGGGATTAAGTTAGAGTCCAAATCGGGTTTTCATTTTCTTTTTCATTTTCTTTCACATTTAAACAAAAATCAAATTATAGAAATAATTTATACCTTTCAAAAAACAAAAGGGACAGCCCGTATTGAAATTAAAGCAGTTAAATGCCTTATAAGCATTATTATTGTTATTATCATCAGTATTGCCGATTTGTAGTTTTGCATCTTTCCACTGGTATTTTGAGCTATTTGTCTTTAGGTTTGGAAGGACTCTTTACCATGACAATAAACTTTATCTTCCTCTACATATTCTCTGTTTAACTAAAGTCCAGACTTAGAACATCAGAGGTCCTTTTCACAAAGCAGGTTTAAACTCTGAGTTGAGCACATGCCAATCTACTATAAAAACAACAATAGGAAGTGCCTATTACACACCATTGGAACTAGACATTTTAATGCAGAATAATAAAAAAAAAAAAAGACAATGTGTATAAAAGACAGAGCAACACCTCTACAGGTGCAAAGGAGAGGAAAATGGCGTAGGAGACGATTGCTGCTCGAGTTAAAGCGAAAGTTTAGTCTGTTATGGTTTCCAGTAAACCTGCTTTGTCAAATGGGACTTAGGGGGTGTTACTTTTAAATCAAAAATACATTGTCATTCATTTATTAAACTCTAGGTGTGAGAATAGTTTTTCTCTTATACAACAACAACAACACCTAAAAGGACAATGAGAAAAAATAAAAAATATTTGACCTGCAGAAAGAATATTGGCTTATTACCAAACTATTATATCCACAGTCTCATCTTTTTTTAAATAGAAGTGTAAATCACAGTTATTTTTCTGCTTAATTAAGAGAAATTATTAAACCTTTAATAAGATCAGGCTTAACTTTGCTTGAATATTTACATTAGTGAAGTTGGCGCTAAAACTGTGTAAACTTTTGATACCGGAAGAGAGTGAAAAAACGTACATGTTTGGGTTTTCAGAATCAGAATCAGACATACTTTAATAATCCCAGAGGGAAATTACTTAATGTTTTAAATTACTTACTATTAATTACTAATTAATTACTTTATGTTGCTACTGAACATTTAAGAGCAAAACCTGTAAGGAAAACGAAAGAGCAAAGCAAAGAAGAACTAAAATTGTAAAAAGGATTTAATAAATGCTTACAGTGGGATTTAAAGCAAGGAGATATTATCAATGGTTTAAACTAGGAAGATATTCTACATGTAAAAAAGTGTATTTCTAGTCATTTGGGCACTGGGGCCTGCAGTATTTTCTGGTAACACTCTTAGTAATCACTGCAGAGTCGAGTCCAATCTTTTAAACAAGCAGCCTGTTTAACTTTGAACGGTTTGTAATCTTTGTGAGGGGTTTGCACAAACCAGCGAGAAAACCACTGAAATTTTTCAAAAAAATGTATTTATTCCAAAAAAGTGTTCAAAAAATTATAAACTGGGCCCAAAAACAGAGGTCAACAAAACAGACTTCAATTCAGGTACTAACATAAAGAACTCAAGCACAAAATGACCTAACAAACAAGACATGAGGGAAACTTAAATAGTGGCTGACAGACCACTGTTGACACACAAGGGGGATAACTCTTGACTAAAAAACTAACAAAAAAAATAAACATAATTAAATAGATAAATACTGGCCAGACACTAAGTACTTTTTAAATGTAACAAATTAACAAAATTACCCAAACTAAGAATATTTAAACAAATGATAAAAAAATTTCCCTTCCCATCACAAATGGTTTGACCCGCTGAATAGCCTGCAACGATCAATATAGGAAAGCTGGAGCTCATTGCAGCCCTTCACGAGCAGATCCAAAGGAAACTGCCAACTCCAAGAAAAATAACGTAATCAGTTGCATCTTAACCAAAAAAGAACCTGACAAAGTTAACTAAATGTGTGCACTGCAAAAACCTAACTTAAAGTCAGGCTAATGAAAATATATGAACTATGTAACTCATTTTGAAAATGAAAAATATAAAAGTTACCGCACAGTTTCAGAGTGTGACAGCAGTCTGTCACATTTTTTTAGTATCTTAATTCTTTTGCTCCCACTCCTGTTTACTTTTCCTACATCCTGAAGTCCTTAGATTACTGTTTTAGATCTCAAAGCAGCTTCCTATTCTATAGAATGTATTTCAATGTGATGTGATCCACCAAAACAGTCCTTGAAAAATTCAAGGTCTGTGCCGATTGTTTTTGACTTCCTACATTGTGACCGAATTGAATGAAAACTGGTATGTGTGTCTGCATGCAAACACCACATAGGCGTTGACATCAGGTTGTCCATCTGGGAGAAGGCTGCTATGTGGTTGGATGGTGGGCAGGAAGGGGTTACATGTGCAATATGAGATCATTTCCTAGGGGTGAAGAGGATTGTAAAGCGTGAGTAAACAGCTGGCTGTCACTAAGTCAACACCATCATACTGACACGTATTCAGCACATGTCAGTGGAAAGTTTCAGCAGCAGGTGATGAGACATGGGTGAAGTGTATCGGCAAGTAGAGTTACAGCAGGAAAAATGCACATTAAATACACTTCTATTTCCTTATATGTTCAATTGATTCAAGTTAGGTGATAAAAAGGGTCCTTCTGAAGCTCTATTGTACAGTAACCATTTCAAGGTTTCTGTGTCAGTTAGCTGTGTGTTTGGGATCATTGTCCCGCTGAAATTTCAGAGGTTTTATCTAAAGCATTCCGGTAGATGAAAGTCATGAAGAGCTTCCTGGTATGTTTCTGTAGTCCAGAAGTGCATGGTGATTTGGGATTGATCAAGCAATACTATTTATTTTTATCACGTTCACAATGACAGTAGAGCGTAGAACCCCATTGTGGGTAAGTGTATTACCTGTTATTTTCATGGGAGCACTGTGCCCACTTCCTGCAGGCCTTTTCAAGGGTTTTTGTGAGGCTCCTTGGTTCTAGGAGAAATTTTGCAAGATGCAGGTGAATAAGTTCCTTTCCCTGATTGGTCCCAGCCATGGTCACCAGAAAACTCTGTAACAAAGGATGCTTCAAAACTTTAGCCCCCTCTACCCCTCTGAAACTGATCCATGCCAAGTTCGGACCAAGCTTGGATCAGTTAACCGTGCCAAGCTTGGTTCTTACGACCATTTACACATCACCTAGCACAGTTCCTCGCTTCCTATCGGGTGTCCACGACACTACAACTCTCAAGGCGGGAATTGTGCAAACAAAAATGGTGGCGCCAGGAACTTATGTGCCTGGATAGCGTCCCCTGCCCTGATTTAAATTAGAGCCTCGGTCATCATCCCAGGTCACACCACACTCTTTTGATGCCATTTATTGTTAATAGGCTGAGGAGAGGTTAGTGTTGTGTACAGTTGAAGAGATCTGAGAAGAGAGAGAACCAAGCCACAACTGAAAAAAAGCTGAGTCCTACTGTTGAACTATTACTAGATCCCAAGCGGTTCAGTTGTGTCTGGCACAGTCCAGTTCAGCTGCGTTCCATTTACACTTAGCAATTATCTCGGTTACTGTGCTCGTTCTCAGCACGATTTCAAAAGGTTGGTGTAAATGGGGCTTAAGGCTACGTTTACACTGAAGCCCTTAATGCCTAATTTCAGCAATTAAGAAATCGTCACATTTCCAAATGTATGCAACTTGTATACGCTCTCATGTGTGACCTGCTTTCATGCAACTTAAACGTCCCGCATGTGCATTAGAGGAAGCAATGAAGTTAAAATAGCGAGCTTGCTTGTGGGCTTAAACATGGGTTTCCTTAGAAACACATTTTGGATGTGATCAGCCATTAAATTGTTGTTATTATTAGTACCATGGCATGGCTTCAGACTTTGGCTCCTCTAGCTTCTAGTAGGTTTATAATGGCTGATAATATACCATTTATCGTTGATAATAGCCACATAATAATAATAATAATAGCCGGAGGATTTATTTACAATTTAACTACTTTATACATTTTATCCATTTCTTTTTTACCAAATACAAACTTTTTTAAAAACTACATTTCACAACTTTACTTCAATGAATTCCTCTTTTCAGTCATACAGATTAATTTTAATTAAATGTAAATCCATTTACTGTGCCACAATGGGGAAATCACTTTCTGCATTTGACTCTCTGCATGTGGCTTTTGAAAATAACTTGGATGCTGACATGCAGAGAGTCAATCCAGTACCTCAAATCAATGTATATACAATAGATGAAGAAATCCTATAATTCAGTTCAGATAACACAAATTTACATCAATTAATTCCACTGGCGAAAAAGGAATTACCTTAGGATTTGGCTTAGGTTTGATTTGGTGATAAAAACCAACTGATCCTACTGGGAGGTAGGAGGCACAATCTAAAGCCATTTAATGGGCTGATAAGATCCGAAGCAGCTGCTTTAAATTGAATTGTCTCTTTAAAGTCCCCGAGATGAGATGTGCAGTGAATTGGTGCCATTTAAATAAATAAAACTGAACTGAAATTGATTAATTGTGATGAATCTGATTCATTCTTTCAGCCCTAATTTAGATGTTCTGCTTCAGAGGAATATCTCACATTTGCTTAGGGATCAAAGTTTAAACCAGAATTATGTTGCTTATATAGTTGTTTTTATTATTAAATATGAATGCTTTTTCTGCTTGGTTGTATATAAACTTTTAATTGTAAGAATTCCTTTAAAAGAAAAAAACCTAATCTGCATTGAGGTCTAAGCATTTAGAGGGATTTATAATTTATGTCATGTTCTCGCCCTCCTCACCCATTTTCTCTCTCTGTATGTATTTTTGCTTTTAGGTTCTCTGCATTGCACCATGCTGCTCTGACGGGCACCACAGAACTCCTGTCACTACTGCTGGAGGCCCAGGCCACCGTGGATATCAAGGATATCAATGGTATCATAATGACAGAACAAATGCATCGCTTCTCTTGAAATCAGCCAGCGGCTCTATGATTTTAGAAAAAAAACATTTAGTTAAATACATGAAGTTCAGTTTTCACAAGTCAGTGGGGATTACACTGAGCCTGAAACGTCTTCATCGGCTCTAGTGCTCTGCAGGAAATATGCTCAACCGAAATGAAAAAAATAAGAAATCTTATTCGCTTTGAAGTTTGCATCCCACAAAATGACAGTGGATCTAAATATTCACTCACTTCCAAGCAGAACAGAAATGGTGGAATTCAGAGCTGCAGCTCACTGACTGAGCCCAGGAGCGTGTGAGGCTCATAAGCATGATCGTCTCGCCTCTGAGTTCAACCATCTATTCCACAGAACTCTGTGAAATGTAGAATTTAACCTCCAGCACTTCCACTGTTGGATATCCTCAGTGTAATTTAAATGCATAGAAAACTGCATAAAAGTGAGGACTAACAAATAAGAGTGATGGGTTTTTATAAGCTGACTTCTTCTTAGAAAGAGAATTGAATTAGTAAAGTTTTGTGGTCATAGTTTAGATTTAAAGAGAAGCCATATTACTTATCATCCTGTTGTTCAAAGCATGGTTGCTAAAACATCATCTTCTGAATACCAGATTATTTAGAATGTGCTCACAAGGCTAAGCAGCAGGAGGGAAGGGTCTGATTTCGATCTAGGTTCTTACAGATTCAGATCAGTGAGGTGTTTCGAAATATGCTGGTTAAGATTCTAAGTCTCCAGGTCATAGCCATTCCAAAAAAGTTTAAAAACAATCCACTGGACTTTATTTCCAAGTTTGACGATGTTTTGCTTCCCATACAAGAAGCTTTTTCAATTCAAAATGTCAGGAATAGCCTTGAGTTCGAGGTTTTATACCGTAGCCCAACAAAGACTTATTTTTGTTTTGAAAATATCCAAATTGAAACGGAAGAAGGGGTCCACCCCTATGGAATTATATTGGACCCCTTCTTCCGTTTCAATTTGCATGTTTTCAAAGCAAAAATAAGGTTTTGTTGGGCTACGGTATAAAACCTCGAACTCAAAGCCATTCCAGACATTTTGAATTAAAAAAGCTTCTTGGATGGGAAGCGCAACATTTTTATTTTGGGATGTTTGTAAATGTTTCATTTTTATTTTCAGTAGGGTTAAAATTTTATTTAAAAGGGAGGTGTCAAATACTTTTTTTTTTTTAGCTCTCTACTTACTCTGTACATACATTTATAATCTGATTAGGTCACAGTTTCAGAATTTAAATCAGTTTTTTTTGTTTTTTTCCCCTTTCATCAAGATGCACCCACCTTGTTTCCACAGGGGTTAGTGTCTAGGACAGAAAAATCAATTGTAGCTATTCCTCCATTTAGTTGAGTGTGTTATTGCATGCGAAATATGAATGCATTCCTCTTAAAATGTTAACAGTCTATAAAATACTGCATCCCAGGAGTCCGCTACGATTGCAACAACAGTGACAACAGAGATTTAATAAATCGCGCTGCTCTATTTGCACGTATTAAGCACTTCTTGTTGTTCAGCATTATGAATAAGTCACTTTTATTATAGGATGTGATGTCTGGCTCTAATTTACATTCCTACTTTTATTATGGCGCTGGAGGACCCAATATGTATGGGTGTCTGATGTAATAACTTTCCACAGTTTTGAGCAACATTGGTTTTTGCTTTTATTATCAGTCAGGCTCTGGTGTCTAAGTAACTATAAGCAAATAGAGCATTTTCTTTTCCTAAATTGTTAAACATGTTTTGCTGTTGTAAACACACTGACATTATACTAGGTAGTTAAGTTAGGTCACTAAAATCAGAGAGAACAAACATCAGAAATGATCAGTGAAATGTCATGACAGCTTTAAAAAATGAAATTTTGTTTTGTATACACTCTCTGCATACAAAATGACGATAAAAGTTGTCTAATTCTAAGTCATATGTGTAAATGTTGGTAGGAACAAGTTACATTTACTTCAGCAACCTTTGGAAAAAAAAGTTCTTTAGGAGTGGGTGTGATTCACTTTACTTTTAAATGTACTTAAATATTATTCTTAGAGAGTCTCGCTAATCTTGTTTTAGTTAAATATCTTTTTTACTCCACCCACCACAAATAATTTGAGCTGTGCAGAGATCAGGTAAAATATACTAAACTGTAGATAATAACATAAGTGTATCACCTACTGTAGGTTTAAGTTAAAAAAAAATGATGCAGAAAAATTGTTTCTTTTGGCCCAATTTGATCATTTGCAAACATGTAACTTATTTATGTTTTCATGTTATACTTTAAAATAGTGGAATTTTCTCATAACTCCCTGTTTGACTGCATACGTTAAAGCATCACATCAGATTTAATGACCCAACGATTGCTTGAGTAGCCATTTTACCAAGAACCTTTTTTATTCTTACTTGAGTAGTTTTTTTGGGGGGTGACAACTTTCTACTTTGACTTGAGTGAAAAATGTTTTACCCACCTCTGGATATGTGTCACATTTTACCAGGAGGTGTCTAAACAAATAAAGTGTTAAAGAAGAATAAGTCCTTTAGTTTAAATCTATATTCCACAGCTTAAATTATTTCAATTGGTTTAGATCTCAGCTAGACGTTTGCGAATAACACAATGTTAGCATTATTTAAAAAAAATTCCTTAATTCCTACTTAGCACCTCTCTGTCATCCCCAGGCATGCGTCCGCTCCATTACGCAGCATGGCAAGGTAAATCTGACTCTGTTCTAATGCTGCTGAGAGGAGGCGCTTCAGTCAACACTCCGTCCCATGATGGACAGATCCCCTTACATCTCTCTGCACAGTACGGACACTATGAAGTGGTGAGTTCAGAGCACACACACAATCTGATTACCAGGCATCTCATTTCACTGAAACTTAAACTCATCGTGTCATTGGCTGGTATTGTTCAACAACAATACAGGTAATTCCATTAATGCCAACCGGGCCGCACACATTTCTTCTAATAACATTTATTCTCCTTTTAGAAGTCTCAGTAGGACAGATACACATATATAAAACCTTCACAAACATAACTTTCTATTCCTCGTCCTTATTGTATGGAAGTCCGATCTCTGTACTGTAACCTTACAGGAGCTCAAGTCCCGTGGAAGCGAGGAACCATCGGTGCTGCTATTTAAACTCATTTGCCCTCACTAAGAAAAGATTGACTTTATGTAAACAGATCAGCATTAGCGCTGAACAAGGGAGACAAGGACAACTCAAGAAGAGCTTTAACTCTTAGGAGAGACACAAAAGCCAAAATGGCGACCAGGAGTTTGGAGTCGGTCAGTAGGGGTTAATAAAGGACGCATGAACTTCCCCTTCAGGTCATAATATGGTTCACCAGATAACTGCCCCCCAACGTCTTTTCTATCAAAATTGTCTACTTTCTTCTATTTCTGTTTTTTCACACACTTAGCCTCTGCTCTGAGAGAAATTAAAGCCTTCTTCCAGACTACTTTACATTTTGCCACTCTATTTGAGGTGTGGAACGGGTAAAAGATGGGGTACACAGCTTGTAAACACAAGCGCGCTTGTGTTCTGAATACTGGGGGAGAACTCATTTATGAACGGAGAGAACGTGTGAACTCCAAGCAGCATGGCCGTGGCCAAAAGGGCTCCATTTGTAGTCGCTAGATTGTTCATGCAACTCAAGAACAATTTCTACACCCTTCCCCTGTCTTTCTTTTGTTTGTTCACTCTCTATTTGTGCCATTTCAGATTATGAAAGTAACCTGGACTGATCTCTTTGCTCATCAGCTTTCCCCCCATATTTTTCTGAAAGTGTTAAGTAATTGTTCAGAATGTATCTGATTTTGAGTGAGTGTCCACACCCCTGTTCCTTTCCAAACTGTTTGATAAATATTTACCAGCAGGGGAATATTATGTCACAAACCATAACTAGTACATGCTTAACGCTTAACTTGCAGGTTACCTCTGATCTTCACCTCTTTCCTAAAAATAGTGTTTATCAAGACCTTTATCAAGACCAGGTCTTAGTTCCAAAGAAGAATATCTGTTCTATCAAGCTGAATAATTATACCAGAAAAGTTCAGAGGTAACAAAGACCATATGTGCAAACAGCCGTCCTCCTGTAACATGACCCCCTTTGAGGTCTGACCTCTTTAGTAGAACACAGTTTAACACAATGGCGACAACCCTTCCCAGGATCCACAGCAGCTATCAAATGTTCCTCCACTCTGGTAGGAAACAAAACATCAAAACACCTGTAGAGGATGACTGGTGTCTGGATGCACCTGCATTATACATGAGGTGATCCTTCTCACATTAGATTGCACTCTCTCCCTTTCACCCTCAGTCTGAGATGCTGCTGCAGCACCAATCTAATCCCTGCCTAATGAACAAGGCGAAGAAGACACCTTTGGATTTGGCCTGTGAGTTTGGTCGACTCAAGGTACTGGATTATTTCTAGCGTATTTTTCTATGGCTCCCATTTTGTTTGTTGGTAAAAAAAATCAAGCTGGCTCCCATACTAGTTCATATGGATATAAAATAGGGCTTTTGTGGCCCTATGCATCAGCAAATTTCAGCACAATGAAAGCTGAGACCTGTTATGAAGAGATTTTGACTCATAATCCAATTATTTGCATGTGAAAACACTCTTTATTCTTTATGTGTGGAGGAGGATTCCTTATGACAAACATGAGCCAGAGATCAGAAAGAAATGAAACTGCTCAGCTAAGCCTGTTGAGGGAAAGGACCTCAGTGGCTCTTTTTGGACATTGTAATGTTTGAAGACATTTGCACTTGGGGAAAAAATACTGTTTCTCTGCTATAGGAAAACAGATTAGCCAGTCTGCAGGATGTGCTGCTTATGCTAAGATTCAAAATTAGACACACTCTCCATGCTTTCTTAATGCGCTCTCAACTAGGTTGACTTTGGGCTGTTTTTACCGCTCACATTTTGCCTTTAGACAGCTGCTGGGCAGTGGATAAACCCTAATTTAGGAGTTAATCTCTTTCCACATAAATATCCTATAATGTCCAACAGTGGGGACATTCAGTACATATAGGTCAATGCACAAAGAAGAGGATGGTTTTGCATGTATTCAAATTTTTTTTATTTACTGCTCATGTCATAATTTCTGTCCTAAGTCTGTTGGTAAAACTTCATCCTCAGACATATTTCCCTTTAGGTGACTCAGCTGCTGCTCAGCAGTAACATGGTGTCAGCGCTTCTTGAAGGAGAGAGAGGAGACGACAGCTTGGATTCTCCCTCAACCACTGCTCTTCACCTGGCTGCTAGGAATGGACACAAAGACATCATCAAGTGAGATAACTAAAACCATCCAATCATTTCACGCTTGCAGATATGTGGTGGCTGGTGTCCATTCCTGGTGCAAATACCCAGGATATGGGAAAATAGCCAGAGAGAAATTATTTGCATTTATAGGGAGATGAGTTAGGGTTAGAAAGACTTCTGTATATTTGAACTTAAGAGTTTCTTGCTGCAGGGCAATGGTGCTAAAAACACTCTACAACTCCCTAACCACAACTCAGTGATGTTTAAATGAGAATTTCTCTGCTTACCAAGTCTGGTTAGGACATAAATATGTGGGCCTCGCCTGGTCTTCAGATGAAGGAAATGAAATGCTATATGAACAACATATATCATTACAAGGGCTGTCATCACTTGTCTTCCAAAATCTAAGCCAGGATGCAGAACAAGTTTACTTTTTAAGTATGTCCACCCCATGAAGCAATAGTTCTAAAACCAACTTCATCTGCTAGCTGTTATGTAATCATGCCCCTAATGTTAAAACACTTTATTTTGCAGGGATTTTAGACCCTGCAAAATAGGCGCTGGAAACAAAAAATACTGAATTATTTTATCAGCAGGTTCCTTATGCACCACTGAACCATTTGACTCTGGACCTCATTTAGTCATTGCAACACCTTGATTCCTTGAGCAGACCAGTCCTTGAGTCCTTGCAAGTCCCCATTTGGAATACTCAGACAGAGGGCTTCTGAATTACTTCGGAAATATAAAAAGCTTAATGTTGACTTTAAAGGAATAGTACACCCAAAACATGATTAGCCTTCATTTTCTACTCACCTCCATGCTGAACAACACTCTGGAGTACTTTTTTGATATCTCAAATGCATCTGGAGATCTGGGAGACTTCTTGCTGTCTGCTGACATTCAAATAATGGAGGTCTATGGCGCCCGAGACAGAAAGGTCCACAAAAGTCCACAAAAACTTGTCAATATTCCTCCATACTGCTCGTCCAATGTAATCCAAGTGTCCTGAGTGGGTAGCATCCAGAATTTACTCGAAACGAAGTCATTTAGAACGTTTTAGAGCCTAAACAGTAGTGTATAGGATTTCCTAATAGCGCCCCCATGCGCGCTCACGATTCTACGGAAGCCGGCAGACCAAACCAGCGCATTCAGCTCGGCAAAGAACTCATGCTCTTCCTCAACACTGAAGTCCTCAGACATTTTTCTTTCGTTGTTTCTTTCTTTGCACAGGTAAACAGCACATTTCTTCTTCTACGCTTGCATTATCGGCAGACCAGACGCTGAATGCGCACTTCCTTCCGGTTTGGTCTGCCGGCTTCCGTAGAATCGTGAGCGCGCATGGGGGCGCTATTAGGAAATCCTATACACTACTGTTTATGCTCTAAAAACATTCTAAATTACTTCGTTTCGAGTAAATTCTGGATGCTACCCACTCAGGACACTTGGATTACATTGGACGAGCAGTATGGAGGAATATTGACACGTTTTTGTGGACTTTTATGGACCTTTCTGTCTCGGGCGCCATGGACCTCCATTATTTGAATGTCAGCAGACAGCAAGAAGCCTCCCAGATCTCCAGATGCATTTGAGATATCAAAAAAGTACTCCAGGGTGTTGTTCAGCATGGGGGTGAGTAGAAAATGAAGGCTAATCATGTTTTGGGTGTACTATTCCTTTAAAGATGCTATGGTTTAGTCGCTGCAAAACAAGACCACACCATCACTCTTACCCAATTGTGCGATGACTACAGCTTTGGCTATTGCTGACCCCTTTGAGAAGCCATACATCTCCATTCTGGTTTTATTTGTGCTTTATTGATCATAACATTAAATGTGGCATTTTGCCCCTCATCAGTAACTTTTTTTAAGATGCCTTTTGAATAAAGGCAAAATGCTTACAATAAATGATAGCAGATGTCCATTTGCATTTAATTTAAGCAATCAGGATTTTCATATCCTGGTTGACTTTTAATATTCAAGGGATATTCTGCTAGTTTTTTACTCTCATGCATTCCTAACTACATTGAGCAAACATGTTCTGGATGAATGAGGTATTTGATCCTTCTTTAGAAATCAACCTGCATGTATCTGCAATGAGAGGGGTTTGCATGTGTGTTGGATAATGCCCTCTTTTTAAAGATTTTTCATAGATCAAATAAGTAATATAGATCATGGGTTTCTGACAACAACTGTTAGCTGTTGGAGATTATTGGATTGTGAAATGGTTAATTTACATCAATCCAATGATTATGAATGTCTTATACTTTTCACTTTTGAAAGCATCACTTCATTCTTTACAATTTTGGACTCAAGTTGTTCTTACTATGCATTTTTTTAAAGGGCAAACACCAACTCTGTTTTATCTTAAAATTCAATTAGCATTATTTATTTGATCATTTTACAAATTAGCCACCATGCTCTGCATAAAGAAGCCATAGTGTAAAACTGTGCATGGTAGGATAACTGTAGAGTCTAAATCGGCCTTTTGAGGTTAATGTAGCCTGGCCAACCAGACTGACTAACGGGTAAGGCTCAGACTCTGCCCTAAAGCAAACCAGTGCAATCATCGTGTGGGAGATGGGAGCACCATATTGCAACACCGCTGTTCTGTAATAATAACATTCAAGACTGCAGCTACGATGCAGTCATTATTTTACAAATTGATTAATCTGTTGATTATTTTTTTGATTGAGTGATTAATAATCGGAAAACCTTTAACAAAACTCCTGACTCAGCCCCATTCTGCATAAATGCCATGGTATGCTACTAGTAAGATTTTCAAATCTTGGCCTCTAACAGACCTGCAGAGATATTTTTTTGTGTGTGACTTTTGCATATTTTCAGATGCTAGATAGATAAAATCTGCATGCTAATCTCACAGCGCATGTTTTCTTATTAATTTTCCCAGGTTGCTGCTCAAAGCTGGCATTGACATCAACAGAGCAACCAAAGCAGGGACTGCTCTGCATGAGGCTGCCCTCTACGGCAAGACAGAAGTAGTGCGACTGCTGCTCGATGTAAGAAGGGCTTACTGTCGATAATTTTTCGGACAACTTTATAATTTGAAGCCTTACATTGTAATTTGCTGGTGAACACAATTGCTCTGACGTTGTATGTGTTCAGGCCGGGATCAATGTGAACATCCGCAACACATACAACCAGACGGCGCTGGATATCGTCAACCAGTTTACCACTTCTACAGCCAGCAGAGACATCAAACAGCTACTCAGAGGTTTATTTCAGCAAGAATGACTTCCTAGTTCTGATCTCTTAATGACAAAGAGCCGGTTGCCATAGGAGTGATGGTTCTTTGTCCTTGCAGAAGCATCCAGTTCTCTCCAAGTCAGAGCAGTGAAGGACTACTGGAATCTCCATGACCCTACTGCTCTTAACCTGCGGGCTGGAGACATGATAATGGTGACTTTTTTTGTGTTTCCTGTTACACTGTCTTGGAGTCGCTGTCAGCTTGCAGCAATTTCCTTTCCCACGCTGGTCCAAAGCCACAACATGATATTACATGAATGCTTTCTGTGTTTTATGACGACCAGGGTGGGGCCAAAGTTAAATTTAAAAATAATTCTTAGGCTATTTTAACTTTCTCTTCCCTCAGTATCAGACTTTACCTTCACTACAGCTTCAGATAAATGTGTGGCCTCTTGTGTAGGTAGTATCCACGCTTTGCCATTACGTCTTAACCCTAACCTGCAGAGAATATTGTAGCAGAAAGAAAGTTTTTGTCAAGAATTAGTGAATGAGTCTTCAGAAGCCAGGAGGATATTTTCTTCTACTTTTCCTATTCTCTAGAAAAAATTTTGCCACCAGTGCAGAGCTGGGTTAACATCAGCAGAAAACTGCATTTCTAGACAGGCTCGGGTGAGGACTATTGCAGCAACAGATAGGCCACTTCTGTCCTGGAAAAAATAATAGGAACAGAGTGAAATCATGCAGTTTATTTGATACATTTTCCTTCTGATTGTTTAGGAAATAGTTTTAACCAAGAAAACAGGCAGCAAAGGTGTGCATTATGATTCACGATTGGTGAAACATTTTCACCCAACCTATGTGTGAGATTGCTGTACATCCCAAAATGGAGGCCCCTACTTAACATCATGTCTTTAAAAGTTAAGGAATCCCATCATAGGAATCTAACATTGGTATATATAATGAGTTTTTAAGTATGGATGTATGTTTCCCATTGTACACAATTTGTCCTTAATCTGTTCGAAAATGTAATATAAATTTTAGGAACAGGTCATTAAAATCACCCAAACCAAACAAACTCCATCCTGTAGCTGATTCCCTTTGCTTTGTGTTGTAGATCAGGGGCTTTGGATTCTCTGCAGAGGGTAGAAGAAGTTGGTGTTGTTGGGATTTGTGTGGGATGTTTTGGGATAATTAAGTAATCTCCAAACATGGCACCACAGCAGAGAAACGGGCTCAAACTTGTCTAATTACCAGTTTTTCTTTTGCCCAGCACCCCCTACCCACCCACTAACAAACACCTTAACTCGTACATTTGTGCATTTTTTCTGTGGTTCTGTTCTAATTTCACGTGTTTTGATATCTGAATACGTGGCCCAAATCATGTTTGAACTCGACTGCAGCAGCGGGTTTGTTTTTGTTTCTTCTAGCACTCTTAATCCATGGATTGTGTATTTACACATGACTGACGTTCTCATATTATCTTCTTAAGTGCTTCACTGCAAAAGTCAGACATTAATTCCAGCTGATGCTGTGCTGACAAAGTAGCTTATATCACAGCTTTAATCAAACCTCAAATTTTTCACATTTATTTCATTTTTTCAATTTTTTTCATGTTTATGGAGACAACAGCGTTTTCAAACTAAAGCTCTGTCATTTTTTTTGCCATCAGGTCCTGGAGCAGCACTCAGATGGCCGCTGGAAAGGCCACATCCATGACAGCCAGAGGGGGACAGACAGGGTGGGCTTCTTTCCTCCTTCAGTGGTGGAGGTCCTCAGCAGGAGAGCAGGTAGAGAAACACACATGACTGTATAAACAAGAGTTGGGTTTTTTTTTGGCTTAGGACTTATGGTTGAATATTACGACGGAGTATTAGGGCCAGGCTAGAGATTTTTATTTTTTTTATCCTATTCCGAGAATAAAGTCATAAAATTACGAGAATAAAGTCGTAACATTACGGGGATAAAGTTGTAACATTACAAGAGTAAAGACATAGCATCAGGAGAAAAAAGTCATAACATTACGAAAATAAATTTGTAACGTTACGAGAATAAAGTCGTAAAATTATGGGAATAAAGTCGTAAAATGATGGGAATAAAGTCGTAAAATTATGAAAATAAAGTCCTAAAATTAAGAGAATAAAGTCCTAAAATTACGAGAATAAAGTCCTGAAACTATGGGAATAAAGTCCTAAAATTACGAGAATAAAGTCGTAAAATTACGAGAATAAAGTCCTAAAATTACGAGAATAAAGTCGTAAAATTATGAGAATAAAGTCTTAGAATTACGAGAATAAAGTCATAAAATTACGAGAATAAAGTCGTAACATTACGGGGATAAAGTTGTAACATTACAAGAGTAAAGACATAGCATCACGAGAAAAAAGTCATAACATTACGAAAATAAATTTGTAACGTTACGAGAATAAAGTCGTAAAATTATGGGAATAAAGTCGTAAAATTATGAGAATAAAGTCTTAGAATTACGAGAATAAAGTCGTAAAATTATGAGAATAAAGTCCTAGAATTACGAGAAAAAATTTGTATAATTACGAGAAACCAGTTGTATTTAATGAAAACTACTACAAGAAGCACTTTCTTCCCTAAAATAAGAATGCCTAGCATTATGTGAAGTTTTAAAGAACTTAATACTCGTAATTTTACGACTTTATTCTCGTAATTTTATGACTTTATTCTTGTAATGTTACGGCTTTATTCTCGTAATTTTACTACTTTATTCTTGTGATTTTATGACTTTTATGACTAAAGTAGAATGAAAAAAAATATTCATATCAGTTTAAATTTAAGTTTCTGTCATATTGCAGCCAGAAAGGTTAGTGTTTTATTTGTCCTTTATATAAAGTCCTTTTACCCAAATTGGCATGGCATATATTATTATTAACATTATGCTAAGAGGAATTGTAAATTGTATCTATTATTCCATTATTAAACACTGGAATAAAAAAAAAAAAAAATTGAATCCTATGTCTAAGTGGAGATTTAAAAACACAGAATTCATAAATCTGATTATAAATACCTTTCCTTGTCACATATTTAAAAACCGTATTCCTTATTCCATTTTTTTTTTTTTTTTACCTTGCAGTTTTAAATCTTTTCTTGAATTAGCATTTTCCTTTTACTTTCCCCTTTCCATTTACTTCTGCTGTGACCCTTCTGGTCCCTGTGCACATTGAAATTCAGTTAGGAAAATCACAGTTGCTCTTCAGATATAACCAGCTCTCCTATTGGTTATTTTGTTAATCAGGTCTGGCAGCCTAACCAATGAGAGTGTTGGCTGCATCTGAGGAGCAACTGAGATTGGTTTAAGTGGTTATCAGAGCCGGGGTCAGAAGGGCCGTGAAAAAGGTAAATGGAGCAAGTAAAGCAAAAAATGCTATTTTAAAAAAGATTTGAAAATGAAAGTTTGAAAAAAAAAATGGAAATTGAATAAGGAATTATCTTTTTAAAATATGTTATTAGGAAAGGTATTTATAATCAGATGTATGAATGAAAATACATACAAAAAATTCCAGTATTTAATAATAGATTATTAATATGTACAGTTTAGAATTAATTTTTAAATTTATAATAGGAAAATGCAATTAAAATGGGTTTCAAATTACATTATTTAAATGTTACATTTAAAAGGGCTGGTTTTATAATGAACTCTCTATGTCCGCCATAGCAGCGGGGCCAGAGGTACCACTATCAATCATTGTCCATCCCTATGGCCACCCAACATACTCCACCACCTCCTGAACAAGCAGTCCCTCTCTAAACCAGATATCAGATATCAGAGATAAAGAACCATTTAATTTGTATCTTAGATATATAACTGTTTTTGACAGCACTGATGTGTAAATTTGTGTGTATATTCTTTAGTAAGGGCTTCATGAAAATCTAATCTGTTTTCTGTTATTTATTTGAAAAAGTATGGATGTTTTGCTTGTTTATTTTCCAGTTAGTACAGTGTGGTTAGTATATCCTGCACCTAAACTGGTTTTGGTGCCTATTGGTTCTCACCGAGCCCTCAGTGCACATTGGTCCCTGTCTGAACCATGAACATGGTCTGCCCTGAAAGTCATATAACGACTAACAAACAAAAAAAATGTTGTGAAGCCTAAAGAATGGAGCAAACACACCAGGGATGAGTTGATTAGAGGTTAAAAGTTTAAAACATCTTAGAGTACTGTTCAATACATCATCTGAAAATAAAAAGAACAAACCACCACTGTAAACCTACCAGGACATGGATATTTACCTACAGGCTGAAGGCAAGGAGGAATTTTAATAGAGGAGCAGTCAGAGGACCCATTGTAAGTTAGGAGGAGCTGCATAAACCAACAAATCAACACGAGTTTGCACACAGCTATGGAAATGTACAGTTGTGATAACATGTGAGTCTAAGGAAATGACTGTTTTTACATCAACTATCAAAGCTTTTCTACCGGCTGTCAGGGATCCTGTGTCTGTTTTGTTCTTGTTGTAGAGTGTGGGGGTATTTTCCATATCCTCTTAATCCATGCAGGTTTGTGGAACATTCTGGGTGTGTGCGCAAATGGAGGATTCCTGCTAGAGAACAAAACTGTCTCTCAAAAGACAAATGCTTCTCTAAGATCATCACTGATGCCTTTCCTGTGATAGCTGATGCTCCACACAAGAAGAATTTCTGAGTGTTCTTCTGTTTTTAATCTATTTTTTTTAGAGAGGAATCCAAATTTAAGACATAAAGTCTTAATTTTCAGTAATTTTACTAATTTGTAATTTAATTTCTGAAAATAACTCATAAAAATGACTTAGTTAAAAATAGAAAGCTCAGACCAGCTAATATTTTTAAACAATCTCATCTCTGAGTTCAATTTACTCATTGCATTGAGTTATACTGTCTTTCCAACTGTAAAATCTTAAGTCACAGTAACAAGAACCATTACAATGAGGTTCATGACTATGGACGGCTTCAGTTTGCTTGTAGATCAGCTGTTTTGATCCATATGAATGAAAGCAATTTAAGCCCTGTGCTTGTTTTGCAGCTGTAAAGCCACTGACATTCAAAAAGCGGCTTGAGAGGCTGAGTTACTGCAACAGGCACAGAAGAACAGTTGCATATACGCGTGCCGAAGCATTCCGACTCACACAGACACACATTAATAGGATTACTGCTACCAGACCTCCAAGGTGTCAGCTCAGTGCTAAAGCCCCCACAGTCTCTGCTGGGATATGGCGTGTATTTGCTGTGCATATGCTCACGCATGAGGAAGAGAAGACATGAAAGTTTGACTCAAAAGTCTCAAAGCCACTTTGCATTTAAAGCAAACTGAGTTGTGTGAGTCTGTGCGTGTACGAGCTGTGTGGTATTATTGCGATCAGCACATGGAGAATCAGGGAGCCTCTGTCTCTCTCTGTGCAACTTTTGATCTTGCATTCCTATTCAGCTGCAAGTTATGTAACTCCAGAGAGGATTTGTCCTGGTTTATGCTTTTCCATATAGATGTGAAAGCATTGAAGCTCCAAACATGAGTGGGGATACCTCCCCTGTGCTTGCACTTCATTATGACCACACCCCTGCACTCACTCATGCATGCCAACCTCAACATACACATGTGTCCATGTCACTAGGGGGCGCTCTATCCCGCAAAGGCTCCATGCCATGCCAGAGACCACACCTGGCATCCAGAACTCCTCCCTCAGGCCCCACCCCTCAGACCGACGACACATACATCCTTGGCTATGAACCTTCAGGTATTCACACATGAACAATCTTTTCAGGACCTGCAGATGACGGAGTCTAAACAACAAACCATCAGGATAAGACAGCTGGCATACTGTTGTTGCATTTGCTCCTGATTTACTATAATATGAGTAAATGTATTCAGCCAGAACAAAAATGCGTAGATATGAGGAATTAAGTGGGCATCAAACCAATTGGGTTGCCTTAATGGTTATACATTAAGGTATAAAGTTGTTCTTTTTTTGTGCTATTCTAATTTCATCAAAAAGTCTGATTTGGATGCAAAATAATCAGATTTGCCTATACTGTATCAGGTGTGAGGACATGTAATAGTAACTTTAAATAATCCATCTTATCTCTTTCTTTGGGCTTAAGATAAAGCAGGAGGATGAAGTTACCCAGATCTAAAACAATCACAATATAAAAACCACACCTGTCTACCTTGTGTAGTAGACAGATCTAATAAAATCTAACACCTACCATCATTTTGGACTTTTAAGCCAATCAATCAAATATCCTCCAATTTAAATAGATTTTTTAATGAATACAACAGCATGGAAATAAAGGAAAGTTTGATACACTTGATAAAAAATTACATTTAAACTTCCTGGTAGAGTTGCATTTATAAATCCTTTATCCGAATAGAATCCGAATAGAAAGCTGAATTCTATTTTATTTTTTTGCTCTAAAGTTTCATAAAATAAATCTGAAAATTAATGCAGCTGTAAAAGTGAAATCTAGATAGTCTTATTTGGAACACACAGTAGCAGCATTCCCAATAAGCATAAATTTGGGCAAACTTTAATCATGAAAATAAACAAGCTGAATTGAAACTGCAATTTGGAAAAAAGAACTCAAGTTTTTCTATAAAAGGGCTTTTTTCAGTTGTAGAAATTCTTTTTTTTTTTTGCCACATATGAGTCAAATAATCCACAACTGGGCTTTACTGACTTGAAGGAAAATGCAGAAGAAGAATGGGGGACGATGGCGCCCTTTAGAGATGTGGCTAAAATTAGATAGATAATTATCCTGTGTTTACATCCGCTGCACCCATGTTGTTTTCAGAGTTATTACGTGAAAACACATAGTTATGTGCAGTCTAAATTGCATTTGTTTTTTTAATTGAAATACCACAATCGTGGAATTTTGCATTTTCAAATTTAGCAGAACATCTATATATTATTGGCCTAATTTCAGCCAATCATATATCAATGATCGTCTGTCAATCAAATTTTTTTGATCATAGCATCTTGATTCATCATGTTGCAGCTAATATACACAACGGTTGAAATAAGAAATAAGAATAATTTACTTTACCTTTTAGTTCCGTCCCAGTGTTCACGGGGATGGACGTCTGTGTCTTCGGCAGGCGTAGAGCTAACAGAACTTGCAGTGTTGCGAGGCAAAGGCTCAAACATGTACGGCTGTAAGACTTCTACACCAAACCAAGCTTCTGCCGCCCTGGCGTCCTCTTCCACAACATCTTCGTCCCCACGTTCCTCCTCTAAATAAAAACTGTATGACGAAGGAGACTCATCCACAACCTCCGACACAAAACTCTCCTCCTCTTGCATGTTTCCGCTGTCCATAGCGTTCCTTGACAGTGTCCTTTCTAAGTCACCAATTTGGTCCCAATATAATTTCCCATTGGGAACCTACTAGCACTAAATTGCTAACTGGTTAGCAAGATGCTTCCGATAAACTGGCCACAATCAAAATTGCTTGCGTACCTTCCGACACAACAACCCTGCCCCCTTGATAATCGACCAATCACATTCACTTTAATCACTCGTGTAAAGTCGTGCACCACTCTGAGAATTCGGAAATGCAACGGTTGGAACAGCAATTTCCCTACCACTTTAAGACTTTTGCATCTATTTCTACTACATTTCGTCCTTCCACACAACTTTCCATTATTATGTTTGGATCCAGTCCTGTGTTTACAGCCAGCTCCTTCAGCAGTTATCTTTTGAGGCTTAACCACCTTGTGTAGGGTCTCACTAACTGTCTGCTGGGCAACAGCTATGTTAGCAGTTCCTCATCATTAGCTAATTACATGGTTATAACACAACATTTCAGTATTTAAAGTCTATTTTTATTGGTCTGATGTAAACATTTAAAATGTCAGGGAACCCAAATTTTAGCTGGTTGCCAAAATTATTAATAAAAAATGCTATCACTTGACTTAATAAGATCAAATAATGGTCAAGCGTGGCTTAATTCACGTATAATGTATGAACTAAGCTGCATCTGGGTCAGATAATACATTTAACAGATGATTTATTCACATGCCACTTTTGACTTTGTTCCAAAGAAAGAAAGTTGACAATAAGTAAATTATAGTGAATTAATCCATTATAATCTTCCCTGTTAGCTCTCTAATCTTTGAGTTTTGAGTGTTTCATATTCACTTTTTCTATGACGGTATTTATTTTTTAACATAAAAATCATCACAAAATAATGTATACAATACAATACATCACTCAGTTAAATATTTCAAATAAATTAATTCCAAGAAATATAATCTTAAAGACCAATACCTGAGATATTAAACATCTACATCTATGTGTATATAACACATGTGTATATAATGTAGATATACAAAGGGACAAACAAAGTGTGTCTCTAAATGACTGTAAAAACATAGTAAAACAATAAAAACATTCACATTGTCTCTGTTTATAGCTTTATTTGACATTTATGACAGATGGCTGTTTTACATGTCTCTCTCCACGGGTCTGCAGTCCCACTCCCCCTCCCTCACCGCTCACTGTCCTCCTGGTGGTCATTGACAGCTCCATAGGTCCTGTCCCCTCTCTGCGGGATGCAGGAAAGCAGCGTAGTGTGTCTAAAGTGTGTGTGTTTGTTAGGTGCTTCACCGGCCACTCAGTTCTCAGCCCAAGCAACCCCCCCTCAGGACATTTGGGTCCTAAGGAGCTCTCCCACTGGTAAGAGTGTGTGACCCTAAACAACTGCCAATCCATCGTAAATCTAACCCCAAACTACCCAAACCCCTAACCTGGCTGGAACCTTTTCACATCCCATACCCTGCCCTTTAACCAGACTGCTTCTCTGGCTCACTTCTATCTGTAAAACATTTAGTCCCAACATCACAGCCTCACCATAACTACCCTGCAAATCCCTTATCCCCATGCCATCCCAGTAACACCCTAACCAACTGGCATTGTCTTGCAGCAGAACATAAAGGTAAGTGGTCAGCATGGCTTCATGTCTGGTTTACTGGCTCAGTCATTCATTGATTAATTGCCGATTATCTGACATAGTCAGGATATAGGGACATGTAGACCACTGAATTTCATTTTCTCTTCCTTAAAAACAATTCAGAACTCCAATTAATAGGGCCAATTGCTATAAATCAGATGATAAAATGTTCTTTCATTAATATTATTTGGCCATCAATACATGACGGTATTTCTCTTTATACTTAAAACCTCTGCCATTTTTTAAATACTGTATAAACAATTAATTCTGATTTAGAGGTGCTTTTGGGTTTTTAGTTATGAGAAAAAAATATAAATAATGGACAAGAGCAAAACCTTTTTTCAACTTTTTAGGAATATGATAATTCTTTCCAATTCTACCTCAATCATATTTGAAAATAAGACAAACTGAATGTCTTTCAACACATATCTGTTCAACAATAGGTTGTCAACAACTATTATAGGAAACAAATTCAAATTTTAATGAAATGTAGTGATTTTAATCAAATTTACTGAGTTAAGGAAACACAGAGAGGAAAATTAGCACTTTTTTTCTGATGATTTTTTGAGTATCAGTGAAACACCTGTAGTAGAAAACAGTTACAGATAGAGATGCAGGAACTAAAATTTCCCAGAACTTCCATTAAAGACGATTAGTTAGATGTGTGTAAGACAGTTTTTCAGAAGATAAAACACTTTTCAAAATTTTATTTTTCTACTTTCACGCTGAGCCTTTTCTTGTCCTTAATATATTTTATTATACAAAACTAATTTGCAAGAATGAAAGACAGAGCCTTACGCTACTATTATGCATTGTTGCATTGTCTTATATCAGGTGACAGAAACAGTGTGGGCAGCACAGGCAGTGTGGGCAGCAGTCGCAGCGCTGGCAGCGGCCAGAGCTCAGAGAGCAGCCGCAGACAGAACGGGACCCACGGCCGCCAGCACAACGATGGCGTCAAGGTGAGGCAGAAACATTACTGTCTTTCTTTTATTACAAAGAGTGTTGATGTTTGAACAACTAATAATGAGAAAACCTAAGGCCTGATTGTCTGGTGGCATCTTTGTCTTTGCAGATGGCGCCATCTGCAGGTGAAACAGGAGATCAGATCCACAGTACTGCAGCTGAGCAAAGTAAAGGTGGGTGACATGATGACTCCTTAGTTGTTTTCAAATTGTATTTATTTAGAATTTGATTGTGCATACAATACTTAATGTCCATTGGCTTGCAAGTTAAGTCTTTATGGCTCTCCTTTTCTAAGCTGGAGAACTTTTCTTTAGGGATGATCTGATTCCATTGTGATATTAGAAATCAGTCTATCAGCAATATGAAAATATAAAGTAATACAGCGGATTGCATCTAAAATCTGAGATATAAGCAAGCTGATGGAAATTTTTTTTTTTAAGTTTATGTAACCCAGTTGGTAATAAAGCAAAATTCAGTTGTTCTCGCATATGCTATTGATGACTTTTGTTTTGTTTTTGAATAATATCACTGGATAAAACCATTTTAATATTCTGCACTACACAATGAGCAACACAAGCTAATACTGTTATATCGTATCAGATATTAAAAAGTATCAGATCAAATTATCATAATATTGCTTGCTTTTACTTTTTGAACCAAGAATTTCCAGGACCTGACTTTACCTGGGTCATTAAAGGTATTGTTAAGGGATTTTTTAAAAGACCCGCTCTCTCCACAAAAAATCGCGCCTGCAAGAGCATACATTAGCCCATTTCTCCTGTGCATGCCCTTTTTAAAATGTACTGTTCTCATAGCTCATACAAGCTTACCGTGTCAACATACTGCTGGGACTATATTAGGGCTGCAACAACGAATCGATAAAATCGATAAAAATCGACGTTTAAAAGCGTTGGCAACGAATTTAATCATCGATTAGTTGTGTCGCGCGATTAATGCGTCATCCGCCGCCGCCGTCATCCCGGGGAAGAAAAAAAAATATGGCGGAGCGAGTCAGCGCCGCAGTTGCAGTGTTGCCAACTCAGCGACTTTTCAGACCCCTCCAGCGACTATTTTTTTAAAAAGCGACTAGCGACAAATCTGGCGACTTTTTACGGTGTCACTGGCGGCTTTTGGTGACTCTTACGTGAAAGCATGTATCGTTCCTACTCTTGTCCTCCAGCGGCAGCTGCTGCCGTGGGGCGCCTCCCCCATCCCAACGCCTTTCTCCCTCTCCCACAGGAATCCCTCTCAGCGTGCAGTCCGAGCCGCAGGATTTTAGTGAGGAGTTTACCCTCAGCGTCCAGACTGCAAATGAAGCGCGCATGCCCCGGGATTGACGGCGCAAATTGATCACAATAATTAAAATAGCCTGCGCTTTGTAAAGTGAAAAAAGTCGTAACATGCAACTTTTGTAAAAAACAAATGAACATGGCACGGAAGCACCACTGTTATGACGCAGCACCTGAAAAGAAAACACGTTGGAGCCTTCAATGGCAGTGAAGATAGCTGATCAGCAGGATGAGTAACCATGTTTGTTTCATTTTAAAGTGGGGAAACGTAAGTTAGTTTCTCAGATAGCTCATCTGATGCTTTCCTTAGCTTGTTAGTAGGTTACAGACAGTGATAAGGTTGGCTTCTTATTTTACTTTTAATTTCATTTGAATTAGCTTAAGCAGCGTTTATATTTTCTTTATAAATAAATAAATTTGCAAATTATGAGGGCAAGGCTTTTAAAGTTTAAATCTTCTGGCAAAGAAAGTAAAGAAGATCCTGAAATTTATGGAAGTAAAGCAGAATAAAATCCAGCAAGATCAGTAATATGTCAATTAATTATCTGCCACATTCCCATGTAAATATCTGTCTTTGGAGGATGTGTTTTTTTAACACCCCTAGTTCTCTCATTTTTATTCCAAATACAATTTATAATTTGAATCACAGGGCTATTTTTATCTCTATGCTTAAGTATTTTCTTAAGTAGCAACTTTAACTGCTATACTTTCCTGTCTTAAAAGGCAGAACTCTTCTAGTCAAAAAAAAACTCATTTGTTGAAATGGGGGGGGCTATTGTTTGAACCCCTTAGGGGCTTTAAAAACAAAAATGTCTTTTTTTGCGCTTTATGAAACAAAGTACCCTATATTTTGTGGATGTACAGCTACATTTCTCATGTAAGTTTGCGTAGTTTTAACACAAACATTTATTTTTCATATAGCACCAGTACAGTTAATGAGAAACCTGTACTTGTGTGCTTGTTTGTTCTGTCTAAAATGTTTATTTTGGAATAAAGAGGTTAATATAAAAAAAATATTTTGTGTCCGATTCATCGATTAATCGAAAAAATAATCGTCCGATTCATCGATTTTCAAAATAATCGTTAGTTGCAGCCCTAGACTATATAGTGAACTGTATTGCAAGCTCAGTTAACTGACCGTTTCGACAGATGATCTTTACTTTTAGCCCCATTGGCCTCGTAACTCCTCCTGCGGCTTTATTAGTCACCGCTGTTGGGTAGCGCCAGCCTATGGCGACAGCGGGCCACTGTGAAAGCAAATCCCAAAGTGCTGTGGTAGGAGAGCTCTCTGCGCAAAGCATTCTGGGATATATCTACCTCTTCTGAGGCCTTGCTTTTCTTCTCATACACTTCTTCTCTTACGACCCTCGGCCATTTTTAAAGAACCGTGGTGAGAAAGGTGAGCTTCAACGACTGTCTGAAACCATTGCTCACGACATATATACGCCTGAAAGTGTGCATGTGCATGTGTGGAAGATTCTAGCGGTACACGAAAGTCTTCACGACACGAAAGTCTCCTAGCCTTCTGCCAGGGTGGCTGGCACCTCAAAGTGGAGCTCCAAATCTTTCTCCTGAATGGCGAACACCGGTGGCTAAAAAATATAAACGACAAAAAACGGAGAGAGGAGCCCAGTGGCGCTAGAAGGAGCATTCTTGGCTGATTTATATTCGAATATATTTGTTAACAGACAATTTACTGACATGTCAGTACATGACAGTACATGACATTTATCAAAAATATACAAAAATATAGAGCTTTCCTTTTAATTTTAGAAGACCTACTAGCCTTCATTAATTCTTTCCTGATGGGGATAAATGGTTTGAGTTATTTATACAGTTTATATTCACAATAATCAACTGCATCCAGTAGAATCCAAACATACATGGTTTTTACTCCTGGTTCTCAGGACTCTTATTCATTCATCCTTTACATGTTTCCTGCTGCAGCACACATGAATCAAATGATTGTATTTCCTGCTGCAGAGACCTGTTAACCATCCCTTTTCTTAAGTCTGTTCTTGGAAGGAGGGGAGAATCTACAGTATGCAGGGCAGTAAGTCCTAAAAAGCAGGTTAGATAACCAATAATATATAGAGATGTTTGACTATGATCAGGCTATGTTATGAAACAACACAGATAATTCCAGTTAATAAGCAGAATTCTACTGGAATGTTCTGCTCTTCTGGATTCAGAGATGTCAGGGTCCTTTGGTATTTTGTTTCTTAATAATCCGTTATGTTGTAAAAACTCAGAGTTCACTCTGACTTTGTTCCTTGTCTGCTCTGTCGCTGTGTGCAGATACCATCCAGTGGGAACTGCAGCTGTAAGGCAAACAATCTAAAAATGCGCTTTAAGAAAGATTCAATATGAAAAACCTGAACTAAAAGCAAAAGACCTAACATCTGAATATATCTGCCTGGAGACTTTATACAGGAATTTAATTTTTTCCTCATGGTTCAATGCTACTTTAAAAAAGATTTTGTACTTTACTTTTTAACCTCTGTTTTCAGTTTTTTTTATAAAGAGAAAAAGTAATACATTTTTGATGAGTTTAAGGCTTTTATAAACACCTCAAAGGTTGTGAATGTTTGCTAAAACCATAAAAGTTTTAATCAGATTGTAATGTATTTCTCATTCTAGAGTACTGCTTTAAGGTCAGCCAACTGAAACTAATTCCCAGTTTACTCTTAAATATCTCCAATAAATAGATATTGTTTTTAACATCCTGATTCAAAAAGGGCAGCCTAATAATAATAAAAATAAACTGAAGTGAGAGATTTCTCGGACCATGATTGCAGATTTTATAGTAAATACTCTCAAATCTGCAGAAACTCTCTGCATCTCCAGAATCTCTGGTTTTTCTCCTGCCCTATGAATGTCTTGTTTCCTTTTGTTTCACAGTCAGCATTTATTACTCTCTAGCTAAAAGGAAATGAAACAGAGTGAACAAAGACTGACCTCAGCTCACCTATAAAACCAATAAAACCACTTTCTTTTTTCTCTCAGCTTATAAGATTTTGGAGAACTTTTTATACCATCAGGTGGTACTAAAACCCCTGGGGTAGCCGCTCAAAGCCAAGCGTCTTTGCAAATGTTCAGGTGTCACACCAGGGGTTAAGGAGTGAGGAGGGTGAGGTGCTCGATCGGAGAGGGCTAAAGCAGCTGGGGCAAAACACATCAGTCAGAGAGAAGCAGAAAGAGGGTAAAGCTTTAAGTTGGGACCAAGCAGTTCAGGCTGTGCAGCTTGAGGGGTAAGCAAAAAAATCAGTCAGATGTCAGGGGATCTGCAGCTCTTTGCCCTCCTTAAGGGTAAGAATTCTTTTTTTTCCCAGCATTTTTTTGTTGAGATTTTAGGTTTGTTTTTAGTAACACAGATTGTATGAGAAGCAAGGTAAATAAAAAAAAAAATAGGAAGAATATGGAGTAAAACAAATATAATTTCTTTATTTCTTTCACTTCTGTAATTTGTGAAGAGCAAAAGCTAAGTGATGAAGTTTTGACTCTAGCCTAAGGGCCAAATACCTCTGCTCTAGGTACTGCTCGCAGTTTCCTTGGAGACCAGGGCTCTGAAGTCTCAAGCAAAATAAAGAAAACCCCTAGAAAAGCTGAAATAAAAGGTGAGGAAGTTAGAGTAGTGAAGAGTTGTGTGAGTCTTTATTATGTTAAACTGCATTATAAGTCCTTTGTTTAGTGGTTTACAGGTGAAGCCATATTGGTGTTATGTTTTAATTCTAGTAATTTAGAGGGTATCTACCGGTACGTATATTAGACATTCTGTTCTTTTGGGACAATTTCTTTAAGTGGATATTATGTTCCAGTAGAAATATATATGTGCAGGATTCAGGGCAGAATTAACGATTTTGGTGATTTATTTGTTTATTTTATCATTTTGGTCACTTTTAATATGATAAAGCCAGAAGTGCAATAACTGCCTGGTATTGTTTTTAAGCAAATATACGTAAAAACACTTAGCCAATAATGAAAATGTGCTTTAGTGTTCAAATTCAATTAACATAAAAAAAACTATTAATCCCATTGGGAAATTAAATAGAAATTAAATTGGAAACCTACTTGTCTTTTATGTCTGTCTATTATGTCTGTCTATTATCGGATAAAGGAAATAAAAAGGTTATTTTTAACTTCAAACAGTGGTTTGGTACATATTTGGGTTTCAAAACATAGGTTGCATTCAATCATAAAAAATAAATAAAAATAGACACATATGTTGAACTTTAGTTAGCAAGAAACAAAATGTTTTTCCAATTCTAAAATAAAATAGATTTTAGCTGCAAAACCCTAAAAGGACATTTTTTTATTCATTCTAAGTTGCAGTATTATACTAAAAAAATATTTTTTAAAGACTGTCCATATTTACGAATAAACTGTTAAAATCACTTTGGGGTCATTATGTTTCAACACCCTGGTGTTCCAACTGTTCTTGAATGCAACAAGAGCTGCTATTTGCAAATCATAAATCCATGACTTAAAATGTGTATTATAGACTGTAAGGCTGACTGGATGCTACTGTACAAGTAGCCATTTGGAAATCTGTTGTTTTTTGCTATTTACATTTGGCTTTATGAGGTTTCAGAATTTTAATTAGTGTTGTGCCGATACCATATTTTGGCCCCAACACCGATACTGTGCAGTATTGGCCGATATTATCTGTTTGAAATTGATGTGTGTGTGTGTATATATAAAGAACTGCATACTACTTGGATGTAAAATAATTGCCATCATGACTTTGTCAAGCTGCAGAAAAAAGACTAATACAAAGGAAATCCAGTAGAACTTTTTATTGCCTACCTGAAATGAGTGACAATAGTTGAATAAACTTTTTGCTCTCAAAATGGTAACAGTGCCCTTTGTTGGTACGCGCTGATACTGATACCACCATTTTAATGCAGTATCAGGGCCCTGCCTGATAACTGTATCAGTATCGGTGCAACACTAATTTTAATCACAATTTCCATTTTTCTATTGCATTTCTAATCAGTTAATTCAAATAGTGCAAATTTACAACATATGTCATCAAGGCACAGAAACAATATCAGATCATCCCTTCAGATTTTTATTTGTGATTCTATTAATTGCCTCAGTAACTGGCTTCTCCCATTCTGTCTTTTGATTCTTTGCCTGCTGTTTGTAGAAGGAGGCCAATTTTGATTTGTCTGTGAATAAAAGAGATTTTAAATCCTTTACCTGCTGTTCGTGCTTGTTTGCTGCAGCATATTGGTGTTTCTGCTCTGGGAAGCAGACTGCAACATGGAGCAGATAGCAGGTGGAAACCCTGCAGCTGAATTGTTGATAAATGAAGCTTAGCCTTTGATGCTGCGTGCAGAACTGAAATAATAAAAAATAAAATAGAATAAAAGAAACACACCAGAAATATTTTCAGTTATGCATTTCTTTACTTCTGTAATTGTGTTCGAAGAATCATGCTGTTTTCTTTTCCAAACTGTAATTATTTAATGGTATGTGTGTGATTGTGTGTGTATAGGGGGGATTCCTGGAGGTCACCTAACAAAAACACAGAAAACTGGTGTTTTAATGAATAAATCAGCTTAACCGCAGGCCATAACAAGGGTTAGCAATGGGAGAAAAGGGTGAAATCCTCAGATCTGCGCTAATGTATAGAAAACAGATTCCTTTACAGACCCGAAAAGATTGAACCAGGCCTGCTCACTCAGCAGCTTGGCTTAAAAGCCTTGTTTTATTTTGTTTACTAAATTCAACTGAGACGAATGAACAACCCTGACACCATTAAATCCTGGATATATAACTTCCTCTGTGTTTATTTTTTCTTCCATTAAGCACTTATTAGTCTGTTTAGTTAAACCTAAAAGTTTAACATCCCCCAGGATTTATGATGTGTGTTTTGTAGGTGGTTCCCGTCGCCAGGCCAACAGTGTACCGCAGAAAGGCTTCATCAGACCAGAACAGCTTCTTGAGGGAAAGGTGTGATCCCTTTAATCCTCTGCTCATTTCCAAACAATATGCTTCCAAAAGCTCAGATTGAGATGTGTTTAGTAGTCACACATTATCCATCCGGTCTTATCAGGCAAAAGATTAATCAGCAAACTTTGTTCTGAGCCTTTTAAAACATTTATCCTGAAACTTTTCCCCTGTGTGTCATTAGGACTCTGAAGCCATCTACCAATGGTTGTGCGAGTTCCAGTTGGAGCAGTACACTTCCAACTTCATCAGAGCGGGATACGATGTCCCCACCATCAGCAGGATGACCCCTGAGGTCTGGTAACCTTCTAGTATTCTATCTGGAAACACAGCTTTGGAAAAAAAAACATGAAGATATGAGCTGCAGCATAAAAGATGTTTGAGTTTATGTTCTAAGATGTACCTGTTCTGTCTTTGTTGATCTCTGATGATGACACAACTGTTGTTTTTCATGCCATTTAACACTGTTTAGGTTGGAAGCATGATTTAAACTGTTACTTTTTCATTTTTATATTCACACCTGATGCTGTTATTTAGAAGACTTTTAGATGCTGATAAAATGCTTAGGGAGCAATTATCATTTAATTGGTGTTTTTTGGATCAAAGTAAAGGTTAAAAGACCAACTCTGTGGTTTGAGTTTTCTGGAGTGCCCCCTAGTGGATGAGAATGATATCCTGACAGTATTAGAAACTGACAGTTAAATTAATTCTAAACATGACATTTAAAAAGCCACCGTATTATCACTCAAAATTGATGATAGGTGTAGCTGGTAATGAGTTTTTTTGGTTAAATAGGTTCTTTATTATTTGCTGGTGAGCTTAACAGCAAACAATGCAAGAAGCTCTGCAAATGTTAGTATCTACAGACTTAATTTTTAACCTGTTAAAAACCGAATATGAATCAAACCAAACTTCCAGGAACCTCTTATATGTTTTTTACAGTTTAATGGGGCGTTGTAGATTATTTTCCTGTTACTTTATCATATTTATCATAATTTTTTTTTCTCATTATTTCCATCACCACTATCTTCAGGATCTCACAGCTATCGGTGTGACCAAACCAGGCCACAGAAAGAAGATTTCATCAGAGATTGGGAAGCTGACCATACCTGAGTGGCTGCCAGACTACATTCCTGTAAGAAATTACCCACTATTTCTTTTCTCCTCTCATAAAGATGCTGTTCTCTTTTATAGGACTTCCTATAAAATATATTCCTATTATAATTTAACTTAATCTTTTTTTCCTTGACTCTTTCTGCCACAAACTCTGTGTGTTTGTTACAATTCAGTCGGATTTGGGGGAGTGGCTTAGTGTGATTGGTCTACCTCAGTACCAGAAGCGGTTATGTGACAATGGCTATGACTCCATCAGCATTGTTAAGGACATCACCTGGGAGGACCTGCAGGAAATAGGGATCACTAAACTGGGTGAGAATCAGATTCTTCCAGGTCTGATGTCTTTGATCTGTTCTAAGGTTATTATCGTTAACTTCAGCTGTCTGTCATTATCTGAGGATTTATTTATATAATTTTATCTTAGTTTTTTTGTCTTGATCTAAGTTGTATGTAAGGTGTATTAAATAAAAGACTAAATTATGCATGAAACTAGTAAAAAACTTAACAGAACCTTACAAAACTTACGAAAATGACTAAAGAAGTATTGGAAATACTAAAGAAATCTAAAACAGAATTGAAAATCAGAAGTCAAAACTAAATTAAAATAGAAACTGATGAAAATGTCTAAATTATTTATAGGCTACCTTTATTTCTACAGACCTTAATTTATAGAGCAGACTTTTAAAGAATACATGACATCGCTCTTAATAGCTTAATGTAAGAACAACTAAAAGACCTATTCTCTACAATTTATTTTTTTATTGAAAATAGATATAAAAATGATATGATCCATCTTTATCTATGTCCTAAATATAATAAGGTATTATTGCTAAAGAATTTCTCTGGTTTTCAGGCCATCAGAAGAAGCTTATGTTGGCAGTAAAGCGACTTTGTGACCTGCAGCGCTCTCGCAATCAGGCCGACAAAACAGGGGAGGAAAATCTCAGAAGAAAGCTACCTGCGGCTCTAGAGTTGGTGGCTATCGAGCGGACGCCATCTCGCTCTCATGTTCACCCTGATGTCCCGTCTGAAACCTGCTGCCCTTCCCCTCGCACACCCAGGGCTCTCCTTTCATTCCAGGACTGTGAGCTGAGTGCAGAGCTGCAGAGCGCTATGATGGGCAAGGCGGGCGGGTCAGCTTCTGAGGCTTTCAGCATGAGAGGAGTACCATCCTCTGTGGTAATAGCTGCCATGTCTATCAGTCAAGAAAGCATAAGCAGGCGTTCGCGGGGCTCTGGGAAGTCTGGAAACTCAAATTCAGGAAGCTCACAAGAAAACCATACAACATCTTCCTCTGCCAAAACATCGAGTATGCCTGAGGAGAATCCTGGCATTGGAGGAGAGGAGGAAGCCAAACTTAGGCAGAACAGTCCTGGAGTCAGAAATAAACAGATCCCTGTGGAGATGTGGGAACATCATGCTTGGTCTGGTTCAGCAGAGGATAAGACTTTCCCCGCCACCACACCTCCGAGGACCCCCAACAAGATGTCTCGCTTTGCTTACCCTGCAGTCCCACCGAAAACCAAACAAGTCCAGTCCCCCAACCGCCTCTATCAGCCTCAGTATCACCCCCAGCACCAACCTCTACCTTCTCCATCATCTCCAGCCCCACAGCCCTCTCCCACAAAGAGTTACTTTAATCACCAGCAGACTCAGGCCATGGATTGCAACGGCTCTCCACGAGTGCTTTCTAAACCTCTGCCTGGAGCCATCCCCGTGCTTAGACCCCCAGCAGCACAGTTCCAAGGTGACAACTCCCAAAGGGGATTACAAAAGAAGCACAGCCAAAGCTTGACTCGCAATGCTCTCTCTGATGGAGAGCCTGATGAAGATGAAGATCCCCCTCTTCCTTCCTCTGCTTCTTCAGTTACTATGCCGTCCTATGCAACCCTGTCTCGCAGGCCAGGACGGGCATCAGGACCCCCTCGTCAAGTCAACCGCAGCCAATCCTTCGCTGTGCGCTCTCGACAGAAAGGTCCACCTCCTCCCCCACCCAAAAGGATGAGCTCAGTGGGTAGCAGCCCTACAAGACAGCAAGGAAGCAGCAAAGTGGTGGAGTCAGAGCCGAAGGCCGGGGTGGAGATCGACAGTGCAGGCAGCGTGAGGAGCATTGCTGCTAGGTTAGAGGGTAGCAGCAACTGCAGTAGTCCATCAAGGAGGATAGATATACCACCAACCTATGTCCATGTTTCACCTGTTCCCAGCCCAGGCTCCTCACCAGTCTCGTATGGATTACCTTCATATATTATTCTGCAGCATTCCAAACCTGTTCCTGCTCTAGGTTTGGGAGGCCTGAGGAGGGTACCAAATGAAAGGACAGAGGGAGATACTGACAGAAACAGAACTGGAAGCAGAGAAGGAACGACCGAAGAGAAACTAAAAGCAAGGAAAAGTGACAAACTGTCAAGGAGTAATTCTGCCTCTCCAAAGGCAATTTCTGTGAATCATCTACCTTTTGCTGAAGAAGGAAACCTTACCATCAAGCAGCGACCAAGAATAGTAGTTGTTAACCAGGCAGACACAGAAGCTAGGTCTACACCAGACGGTCCAGTTCAGACCCCGAACAGCTTGGAGCCTCCAGAGTTCAACCTGAAAGAGTCTGACACTGTAAAAAGACGACATCGCCCCAAAGACAAAGGTGCTTCCACACCTGAAGAAGCTACCACCCCCCAACCAAGAAGACAGCCAGCTGCTTGGAGCCAGCCACATCACACACAATGAAGTCAGAGCTGTACGAAAAGCGGAGGTTCAGACACCAGGGGATGTTTTCCACAGAGTTGGTTCTGTAGGGAGAGGCTCCAAGCCTCCTGTGTCTTTAAAACCTTCCAGTCCTCTAAAACAAACCCCAAATGGAAGTCTAATGAGTCCTCAAAAAATGAATCAGAGCGCACCACTGAGTGCACAAACAGCCATTCCAAAACTGACCAGTGTACAGATACACACTGTTTCTCCTAAGATAAGCAGCAGCTTGAACACCCAGACATGTATGCAGAGCCCTAAATCTGTTAGACCTGCACAAACGTTTGTGTCCAAGGCAGAAAATCAACAGAAAGCTGATGCTCTGCCTGGAGGTAACTATTTAAACTAAACTGAAACCTCTCCGTCTTTTCTATCACATTATCTCACTCCAGTTATTTTCTATATGTGACATAGAACAACTTGTTTCCTCAGGAACAAACCTCCAGGTGATCCAAGGGGTCTGTTTCGCTGCTCCATCCTCCAGCACATTGACATCCTGCTCATCTAACTCTGTCTCATTGTGTCAGACAAGGAGCGCAATGGGCGGCGTGGCAGGTTTAGAGGTTCTAGCTCAGAAGAGACTGGAGCAAACCAGTACATCACTGGAAGCTGCTCTTAAAGTGGTGGAAAATGAGCTCGCACAAGGCAGCAATGTGGATGGGTAAGTTCATGTGAAAAGGCGTACACACATTAAAAATCTTATGTGAAGGGTATAATCAATCAGGACATGGGGTGTGGATCGGAACCAAGGTCCACCATATGGATAATTTGAGCCTTTATGTTATCAATATTATTCTTAAAAAGGCATTCCAGAGTTTTCCAATGATACTACCTGTTGTGGCCCAAACACAGAACTGCAGCGCTCTTCTATCCTTCTCATATCTCATGCTCGTACTTAACAAGGTTTTTTATTTTTACCTTTTTACCTTACGTGGAGTTGCCATTAGTGTCTGAGTTGAGCTTGATGTTGGTCGCTTCTGATTATCCACAAAATCCATCTTCAATATAACGCTTCGTTTTTTTGGGCGAGGTTGGACCCATGGATGCACTTGACATCACATTTGCGAACTTCTGACCTAAAGTAAATTCAGGAAAATAGGCTACAGGGTTATAGATGCATCGGGGCTGAGCTACTGAGGTTTCAGTCTGCGCATCAAACAATGTTACAGTCATAAAGGGTCCAATAAATAGGCTATTTTTATATATTTTTCTGTGAAAACGTACATAAAGTCTCTTTAACTGGTTCAATCATACAGAAAACTCGTTTGTACTTTTATGGCCAAACATTTTTTATCTTTATGCTGTTGTATGGTATGTTTGGTGGGTTGTGGATTAGCTGGGAATGTGGCACTAAATAGGCTTAAATTGGAGGGAACAGAACTTTTGCTTAGTTCTTCTGAAAACATGAACACCTAGCCAGGAGTCCTTATCAATTCTTAAAATATATTCATACTCCAGCATCAACCTTATATCATTCCCAAATTTTTGGGAAGGACTCTTGAATAGGCGTTGAAGTTCTTTCAGGAAAAACAGATTGAAATTCTGGTTCTCTCTGATTTAAACCTGTTTCATGGTCGACTAAGATCACTGAGAATTTGCACATTCTTTAAAAACGCTGATTCCAATATCTGATGTTTGTAAGCAGTGCTACAGACATGATTCAATCACACTGTTTCAAATGGGATTTATAAACACCACATGATAAAATCAAAATGTTGGGCAGTGTTTTTCTAATCTGTGGTGTCAGCAGTGTTTTGTAAATCAGGTTAAAGGAGAGCACTTGGGAAAATTTGTAACCATGCGGACGGATCCGTGCCGCAAAACATGACAAGTGAGCAGCAGCTTGTGTCGGTGAGGGTTCACAAATTTAAACATCTAGAGACAACCCGTGATTTAGCTTATAAATATCACCACTATCAACAGATTGTGGAAAAACTCCAGGAAACAAATTGCCGTTACTCTCGAAAGGCATGAAATTGACTTAACAAAATTGTAAACGGCTATGGAGATTAAAGCTTAAAATCTCTGAGTACAGGAGTCTATCAAAGATTTTTCCCCAACTTTGGGAAACAAAAACACTGCAATGCACCTCCCAATTAATACAGGTGGCATTGCTGTGCTTGTTATTATCCGTCTACTGAAGATTCACCTAAAAATGAAAGACTCTCTCATTTATTCTGCTGTCTCTTTTTCAGCAGTAGCGGTTCTGTGAAGGCAGCGGGGCATATTCTGGATGACATCGGCAACATGTTTGATGACCTGGCTGACCAGCTGGATGCCATGTTGGAGTAACGCCTCAGCTTATTAGCTTTTTTCCAAAGCCAGCAACAGATGGGCAGCTGAAACCATCACCTTTTGATGCACCTTGGACCGAAAAGCTCAGCTCCCTCTCAGGTCTTCTGGATGAATCATTGGAGGCACATCTGAGGATTTTTCCAGAGCAGTATTTTGCAATTTTGATTTTCAAACCTAAGCACTTGGCCTCAGGACACAAACCTGGGAATATTCCTGGATGGACAAGAAAAAAAAAAGAACAGTAGCTGAGAGCTTAGGCTGAAGACTTTAGTTCAATATGTGATGACTTAAGGGAAAGAGGGTCCATCATACATGTAAATACAGAGAAGTATCTAGCCCCATCTCTTTTTACTGGATATATTAGAGCTACACTATATTGCCAAAAGTATTTGCTCACCCATCCAAATTATTGGAATCAGGTGTTCCAATCACTTCCATGGCCACAGGTGTATAAATTCAAGCACCTAGGCATGCAGACTGTTTTTACAAACATTTGTGAAAGAATGGGTCGCTCTCAGGAGCTCAGTGAATTCCAGCGTGGAACTGTGATAGGATGCCACCTGTGCAACAAATCCAGTCGTGAAATTTCCTCGCTCCTAAATATTCCACAGTCAACTGTCAGCTGTATTATAAGAAAATGGAAGTGTTTGGGAACGACAGCAACTCAGCCACGAAGTGGTAGGCCACGTAAACTGACGGAGCGGGGTCAGCGGATGCTGACGCGCATAGTGCGAAGAGGTCGCCAACTTTCTGCAGAGTCAATCACTACAGACCTCCAAACTTCATGTGGCCTTCAGATTAGCTCAAGAACAGTGCGCAGAGAGCTTCAAGGAATGGGTTTCCATGGTCGAGCAGCTGCATCCAAGCCATACATCACCAAGTGCAATGCAAAGCGTCGGATGCGGTGGTGTAAAGCACGCCGCCACTGGACTCTAGAGCAGTGGAGACGCGTTCTCTGGAGTGACGAATCGCGCTTCTCCATCTGGCAATCTGATGGACGGGTCTGGGTTTGGCGGTTGCCAGGAGAACGGTACTTGTCTGACTGCATTGTGCCAAGTGTAAAGTTTGGTGGAGGGGGGATTATGGTGGGGGGTTGTTTTTCAGGAGCTGGGCTTGGCCCCTTAGTTCCAGTGAAAGGAACTCTGAATGCTTCAGCATACCAAGACATTTTGGACAATTCCATGCTCCCAACTTTGTGGGAACAGTTTGGAGCTGGCCCCTTCCGCTTCCAACATGACTGTGCACCAGTGCACAAAGCAAGGTCCATAAAGACATGGATGACAGAGTCTGGTGTGGATGAACTTGACTGGCCTGCACAGAGTCCTGACCTCAACCCGATAGAACACCTTTGGGATGAATTAGAGCGGAGACTGAGAGCCAGGCCTTCTCGTCCAACATCAGTGTGCGACCTCACAAATGCGCTTCTGGAAGAATGGTCAAAAATTCCCATAAACACACTCCTAAACCTTGTGGACAGCCTTCCCAGAAGAGTTGAAGCTGTTCTAGCTGCAAAGGGTGGACCGACGTCATATTGAACCCTATGGATTAGGAACGGGATGTCACTTAAGCTCATATGTGAGTCAAGGCAGGTGAGCAAATACTTTTGGCAATATAGTGTATATTTATACTTAAAATGTTTTTTTTTAACATTAATGACAGAATTAGTGTACATAATTCTATGTATATTTTGCAGCTTTATATCATTAACATGTTTGATGTATAGAAAAAAGTGATAGGTGTGACATTTTTACCAAAGTTTTCCCCTCCAATCTTTGCACTATCAGTAATGGAATTAAAAGGCTGCTCTGATCTTACAGCCGGGATTATTTTACAGTTTCCTTTAGGGTGCTAAGGAGAGGATTCACTGTTAGAAAGCTGCTTCCAAAGAAAGGGTAATGCCCGTCTTTTATTTCCTGCATTTTAGCTGAGGTCAGTACGTCTCTTGGGACGCTGGGAATGTTCTGCATTAAACAATTGAATCTGTGCACAGATGGATGGCTAAATTGTGTCTACATTTTTATTTTTTAAATAAAAGGCAAGATATTTAAAAAGTACTGAAAGTAATTTGAACAATTTTGTCTTAATACGTTGAATTTCATGTTCTAAAATTATTATTTTAAATGGATAGTTTCCTCAAACTGCTTTTCATACTGTCTCAATCCCATAAAGGGAATTTTCTCGCTTTATTTTTGAGTTTTCATTAAGCCTGTTTCAAATCCTGCCAGCATGTGGCAATGTAGCTACCGCTAGTTTTAGAATTAAACATAATGACAGAGAAACAGGCATAACTTTTCTCATGTAAGATAATGACTTTGACTGACAGAGATTAGAGATTGAGAGAGATTTGACTGAAGCGGCTGCCTTTATGATATCAAACCATGGTTCATTTATTAGAGCGTTTTTTTATTACTGCTGTGATGGAGAATATTTCTTAAATATTCACTGTGAAGCAAACAGGTTTCACTATAAGGAACATCAACCATCTCTCCTGTACTGAGCAGCTAAAGTTAAAGGAGAATAAACACAAAGTGTCTCATTTAATCCAACATATATTACAGATTACTGGAAATACTTCTTGGTTCCCAGTTTGCCAATTACTTATGGTGGTTTGCGGGTCTTGTATTTGGATAAAATGTTTCTCTTCTCTTTTAACATGAATATTTTTAGTCAACTTGTGATCAGCATTCATTGCTAAAGGATAAATATTCCTGTGCAAGTCGCAAAGTCGCTGGGATAAGCCGTAACCCCGCACATGGATTTGTCATGAATGTTTAGTCCCTCGGATTGTTTGTTTGGGATATCTAGGAAATCATCTTCCTTCCAAAGATTAATCAGTCTATGCTTGATGATTTTCTGACCCTTCCGGTCAGAAAGCTGTAGTTGTAATACTCTTTAGATGAGGTGATCCTGCTGTTTTCTTGCCAATCGTGATGCCCAGAAAAAAATCCTCAGAGGTTATCTGAGTTCATTTTATTCACTGAAAAAATTTCTGCAAGCACCTTTAAAAAAAGAAAAAACAAAGTACAAAGGTGCAGGTTTAGTAAGTTATAGACTTGAATTTATATTTAATTACAGCTGTATGAAAGGTTTGTTTAAATTGTTTTTTTTTTCCTAGGGCTGAAACAAATGAATTTTTTGCATACCGATTAATCTGTCGATTAACAGAATAATAATAATCGGATAGCAAAAGGTTCCTCAAAAATAATTTTTTTTACAGAATTAAACCAGGCGAAGCAACAACTTTTCCATGGATAGAACAAATTGACAGATTTTTGACAGATTTTGATCTTAAATGCATTTTTACGTTCTTGGTATAACTGCTGCTCAAGGTGGGTTTCTCTATCAGCTACAAGCATGTTTTAGAGCCTCTACAATCCAGTTAACGATTAATCGATTACTAAATTAGTTAACGATTATTTCAAAAACGATTAATCGGATTGTTTCATCCCTAGTTATTTAATTATATTTATATTTTTTTACTTCCTCCCACAATAGTGATTTTATATTTTAATTTAGAGATTGTTAAGATGTTACACTTTTTGTTTTATTGTATATTTATGTTTTTAACACCAGTTCAGCAACTTGTATTCCAAATTGAACCACCTAGAAATTGGATATCTTTGATTTAAAAAAAGCAATAAAAAGTGAATTATTTTGGTATATTTTCTGAAGGATTCCAGTCTGGATATGAAAAACTTGGTAGATCTCATCAGGAGGATCCATCTACCTACTGCACACATTAGGTCAGTAGATTTATAGTAGAGCAAACAAAAGAGAAGAAGCCAGGTAAAATGTTGCTGAATGCTTCATGACCTTTGATGGACATTACAACACAGACTCGGGTGTTTGATCCAAATGCTATATTTTTCATTATTACATTCTACGTCACAGAAACATCAGAATATTTTTTTTTTTTTGTTAAAAACAGAAATGATTTCAGCAGAATCAACAGAATTCACAGGAATGTTCCAGACTTTTACTTCGTCAGTCCAGCTAAAACGTCCTCTCAATCCGCTCCGTGTATTTACATGCTTATCAAAAACAACAATAATGATATCTCCTATCTCGGAATCAGACATCAGAACATAAAACGTAAAGGTCCCAGTAGTTACCGACTGGAGGAAATGTTTGTTGATTCACTTTCGATGCAGAATCTGCCAAGAATTACTTTTCCCCGACACGCTCCTCATCATGAGAAACAGGACGGAACTACTTTCTCTCCTTAATATATAAACATTCATCTCTGTGTGAAATGCTGGCAGTCCAGCAGTCATTAAAACATGAAAGAAAGAAACAAAAGTGGCAAATCTCTAAATTAAAACAATAAAATCATGACGTAATACTGTTAAAAGTGGGTTTAAGATGTGTTGCGTTCATGTCTGCAGCAGACGCACACGGAATGAGAGGCTGATTGTCTCTGAACTCTCCACTAGAAGGCAGCACAGAGCCCCATGGAGGTGGTGATTTTTATAAGTTGCTGAACAGTTCGTTCCTCTTGCTCCAGTCCATTGGCGGGGCTTTCTTAGAGGCTCTCTTCTGACGGGCCCGTTCTCTGGCCTGAGCCAGAGACATGCTGAGGCCCAGGCCGTCATCGGTAGGGGACGACTCCGGCTCCGGGCTCCTCTCAACCTGCACACATGCACTTAGGGTTAGAGTTCAATTCAGATGCATTGCTGCAGGTTTTTTTCTTCTTCTGGGACTCCTACCCGTGGAGGCGGTGAGCTGCGTTCTGCTGCTGGCTGGGAGGCGTTGGATGAGGCACTGGAAGCGTGGGAGCTCACTGACAGCGTATGCTTCAACTGTGATGCTACCTGTCAAACACAGATCCCAAGAACACTACGTTTTAATCAGGCAAATACAACTTAATACAAAGCAGGAAGGAGATTTAAAGAAATATCTGAAAAACATAATGAGTAGTAGCAAGAAATCCCTTAAACTGTTCTTCTGTTGCTTCAACAAAGCAGGTTCTTCTAGATACCATGAGGATCCAAACAGGATCCAGCTCTTCCAACTAACCAAATCCTTTTCTGATGGTAGGTCATGAGCATCTGTTTATCAGGTTTCCATCATAAACATATCAATGGACTGCGACCTGTAAAGATTTACAGCTAATAAATTAAACCTACTAAAGCTATATAAACACTGATGACTCCTGATATTCCGTAGACTGGGTGTTGTTGGTTATAAAGCCACAGAGGAAAAGGAAAACACTTTTTGTAACACTCTTTAAATAACAATAATCGATGTGATTAGTGAGAAATGTTTGTTAGCCTTGTTTGGTTGTTG